AAGATCAATCACCTCAAGCGGAGATCTGCCGACTAGGACGAGTTAGCCACGGTGTTTGTCCTACAGCCATTCAAAACGCTTTCCACAGATTGCTGTGCGTAATCTGGGAACTGACACTGACCCAAACAAACTGAATCACAATGTGTTTACGGCATTTACTTAAAAAGGATGACAAATCAGTGTGCTTGATGTGTAGTTTCAATGTTTTGCACAACATTTTTGTGCACCAGGCCTGACCTATCAGTGCACCTCCTGCTTATTCCAGCTAAGAATGGAAACAGATGACATTTGTTCCTATATCTCAGTTCCGTAAGCAGATGCATGGAAATATTCATACAATAATCTTAGCACTTCTGTACTATTCGCATTAAATCGTAGCCTCAGCTTTTGTGATCCAATTGGACGCGGATTCGTTACCATTCGATTTGCTTGATTAAACTCTCAAATCTGTGTGGATCTATTTCCCTGAAGAAGGAGAAATATACTGTGAAGAACAAGAAACCACAGAGAGAGTGAATGAACCACATTGCCGGTCTTTCTCGGATACATATTTAAAAAACGAAATACAAATGTTTCACGCTTTTTCATTTCAGATATCAGTTAGATTGACGTGTCTATTTTATGAAACACTTTCATCACAGTTCGAAATACCAGTGGATATTCAGCCTTGTGCTCCACAACCACCGGATGATCAGTTATGCGGATGAAGCAATTCAGGCTAAACACAATAGAGAGCTTCGTACTGTTTGATATCAAGCTTTGATGTTACATCGATACCTCTAAACCTATGCCCAAACCTGACCACGGCCTTTACAATTAACCTTAGACCATTCCTAACGCCAACACCTTTCACTGGGCAGATCATCAACGTTTCATCGTGATTTTGACGTCCATCCAGCAATCGCTCAGTCGAAGTCTGCTGGATGGATGCACCTGAGAAGACCTCCTTTCCCCCAATCAACTGCCTCCATGCAACTATAACATTTTCGTTTCGTTCAGTAGTTGAGGTACAACATTGGTATGGCCGCCTTGTTTGGTTTGCTTTTGTAACCGAACAACCGACGAATCGAATGTCGCATGACGTTGTGGCCAGTTAAATCTAACATTTAACACTCCTATGAGTAAAACTATCAAATGTGTCAGAAATTGTACAACGTTTTACATTCACAAGCGTGAAATAAATCAAAATTAAATACTTACCATTCGTGGCATCTACCTCCACGAAACTCCGTTCTTGAGAGGCCGGAAACGGAATAAACCATGCATATGAATCTATTCCATCTTTATCATCCTGCACAGATTTCGTCTTAACCGCAACGGGTCAAGGTATGCTGAAAAGGATATATTTTGTGGAAGCTGGAATCATTTGTTTTCATGGTCTCACTACCAATCACATTGCAAATAGAACATTCATCGAATGAATGATCTTCCATGAATCGATTGAATAAAAACGAGCGTGGAAAGCAACTGAATGTGAACCCCAAATATTACATTAGTGTCCAGCGAGATTGAAGCAGCAACTCGTCTGGAGTGCGACTGTCACATCTGAGCAATGAGCAAATGTGACACTCGCAGCTGACAATGAATGCATTGAGGTGACTTCTATTTTTCACATCTGGTTGTCTGTGTGTACGTGTAACGTGCATAGTCTGATACCGAATTCGGGAAACTTGTGTGCTCTACCAATGCCAATTAACAGCATGGAATGCACACGAGGTACGCATTACAAATCAATGATTGATCTTAAATAGCGCATGCCTAACCCAATGGGCTGGATTGAATTGAAGTGGACGTGGTTTTATTGAAAGACACAAAATAAGGATTCATCACTGTGGTGCTGCAGCAAAACCGAAGCTCAGTTGATCCTCTGTTTCGGGATGAATTCTGTTCTTTTTCTGTGTTAGATCTATAATTTCATTCAAATAAATGAACATATTTAAATGAACATAAGCGGTTCTTCATTTGATAAAGGGGTTACGCTTCCTGATACGTTCTCGTAACTTTCAAGTCCATGACCGACGCCCACTTATATTTCTCATTTGTGTCTTCCGTTACACAGAATTTGATTGAATGCGGTCTCTCGCAGGAAATTCGACTCATCAAATGTATTCAACGCGATTACAGAGAGTCACCGTTGATATTCGCATTATCCAGACATAGTCAGTTGCGGCCGATTCACGTGGAAACAAGCAAAATCAGATAAAATCCATACAAAAGTACTCGGCCCGAAAAGGATTAGGCTCTCAACATCACCTCCAAATGTTTCACTGACGCGTATGCATAGATCTCAAATCCGGAGCTCTCATCACTTCTCAATCCAGTTCCAAGTACGAGATGGAGTTCAATGAAGATCGTCGCACAATGGACTATCAATGCATGGCGCGTCTCGAGCGACGTTAAAGTGAGATACGGATGCGTGCGTGACCCGATTGGTTCCTCCAGTTCATTTCCAACATCTCCCTCATTTGAGCTCGATGGCTTTTTGGAGAATCGTAGTTTCGAGCGGATTTGGAACGGTATTCATGACTTTCTCGGGCTATCCCACCATCCACGAGGTGACGGTGAATGTACCATTTTCATTGAAAGTGCTGGATTTCGGTAATACACGGCTGAGAACTGGTAATACAAATGTGCCCATTAATGTGTCCAATGAACGTCTTTGTCCGGGTTCGGTTCAGCATTGAAGGCGATCATCATTTTACTGGATGGCGTGCTGCACACACACTTCAGAGCCCACTAAAATTTCGTAGATCAATCCCTCCGTATTCTATGTACTCGATCAAGTGTCCTGTTTTCTTGATCATTCAGTTAGTCCCTTACAAAAGCTTTGTGTTGTCTCGTAAACGCTCGGTCGCACTTGCACTCGCACCGGTTGAATTGTATCTGCATTGTTGATGGGCGAGCAATTTCAATGGTTCATCAATTTATGAACATTAGCAGTGCTGTTATGTGACACGCGCCTAATATGCCTTCGTCGGAAATTTTTCTAGATGAATTGACGATTTACAACGGGAATCGGGCGAGTTCATCATTTCTGAGAATGCGCATCTGATTGAACATAGAAGGGTATCGAGGTTCTTTTGCCGTTTCGGAATCATCGGTCTCGTGCATTTATGGGTATGTTCTTCCGGACTAATTACGATGGTTGGCCATTACACAACCCGGGGTTGGTTTTGAAATAGGTTTCTCCCGCATGCTGACTGGCATACTTGGCACGTCTCCTCGTGTTTCTCCCTTAGGTTAATTTGTAGTTTGCAATGATTGTTGAAATCTCGGTGTCCAAGAACGAGGCATTGCATAGAGTATACTATTCACGTTTTACGCTTGCCTCAACCACAATAGGTGTTTACATGGTTGCAACTAAGATGCATCATACTTTACCTTAGGGCAGCTGGCTTCTTCCCATGTTTCTTTACACAGTTCACGAATATGTGGTTGATTTCAAGTAATACATGCCTAACCCAATGTGGTGATATGAATTGACGAAGTGGTAATATTTGAATTAAAGATTGAAGAATACTAAATACTGAATCATATATGAATACCGTAGTATTTATTTTGATGTGTTTGGCATTACTACGAATCACGGAAAACGATCGGAGATGTTATCTCGCCAAATGAGCAGTTTGTGAGGAATTGGGGCTGGCGATCTTGTGTGATGTGAGATGATACGCTGTTGCCTATTATTTGGATGATGTTATACGATACATTTTCATAGCACCTGATAGGTAATGAGTTGGCAGATATCCATCTAATACGACGGTCGAGATTTGCATAGCATTGGATAGAGAGACAGTGGCCAGGGCTGTGGGTTTTATAGTTGCTCTGTTCCATTCATTCATTATTTGATATTCGCTTTGGATAAATACTTTTTGCATAAATGTATTGTTATATTTAGTCGGTCATTTATGCTCATTTCTCCCATTGTTTGTTGTCAGCTATTTCTCTACATATTTCGGCGTTGTCTATGAAGTGGGATTGATAGCTTTTGCTACTAATCCACGCGAATGACTCACTGGTGCTAATTGTCAGACATGTTTTTAAATCTGACGAATGTCGTCTTTTGCTGGTTGTATGGGAAATGAAGAAACGATGTGAACGACAAAAAGAAACGTTTTTAACCGAAGGTATTTGTGCGGTTTAGTTCCGGGTATCATGAAAACCATGTTACCAAAGGTTCGAATTTTGCAACCGCTAATCATCATCACCAGTTGTTTTCAAGCCGTATAAGAAAATGACGATGTTGATTGTCGCGGTCAATTTGACTACGCCGACGATGATTCCGTTGATCTTGATTGCAATCATCTTTGCAAACAAACACCAGTATTGTTTCTTATCGCTTCCGAACACCTCAAGAGCATTTGTGATTTTTAAATTAAATCGGAAGCTATACTTCTTCTAATGCACATAAGCACACTCTGTTTAGACCAGTGACAATGAAATCAGGTGATAAGAAAGACAAGACAAACATTGGACCAATGAGAACTGTAGAATGCGGAATAAAGTAGCATATAAAGTCGGAATCTACGTGCTTAACTTGAACACAAAAAAGCGAGCGCGACATGAAAAAATATACAGCATACTGATCATTTATCTATTGTATGCTAATATACACACCGTACAAGGTAATATGTCTGCTTTGAAAAGGGTGAAAGATTTCAAAAACATATAATCACGAGGAAATTAAAAAAATAATCATATTTATTACTGTGAATTACAGGTCAAGTGAGTTGCAGCAAGACGATAGAAATCGGTGGTGATAGTGAGCAAGAACATACCTTCAAAGGTGACACCTTACAAAAAAACGAGAAGTGCGTGATTGAATTTACAAACACAGATGACAAGTATCAGTTAATATTGACCCTGAAAGAAGTAAAGGTAAGTAAAATTTATAATCACTCCTAGAGTAAATGTTACGCATTGAGAGGATTATGTTGCATGTACCGCATATTCTCAAACAAGAGTGGCATAATGTTGATAGGTGCGTATCAATGATGAATGTAGATGAATTTCCAAACAATTGTTCGGATCCAACTAATTCACGCGTTCTCTCCAGTCATATATTGAAGTGCATATTTTGCCTCGATCCAAAACAAGCATTCGTGGTGTAAAAGCAACAGAAAATGTGGCGGTTGTTACGGTTCGCTGAGGCCGTAGCCATTCGGAGTCAGAAACTAGACCTCTCCAAACAATTAGACGTTTTGGCCAGCCTAACTGTCGCATGGTAGGGATATCACCCTGATTCCGATTGATAAACATGTTCTCTCACCCCATCCCTCAGTTCAAACCGACTGTGGTTGGTGAATTTGTATTTCGCATTGATTTTGCCTAGTCGAGTTTTTCTGATGTTTAAATATTCCTCATTGTCCTGATCGAACTTTCACATGCATGTTTGTAAACAGCTGAAGAGATCGCGTGAAACAATTGAATTCTGTCCTGTGACGAAGATTGTTTTTGCTCTAATGGAATTCCTAATGAGAACTGAATGTATGAAACAACTCGTATAATAACCAAATAACACGAATCACAACTCTTTTCAGTTTGATGCAACCTCAGGCTGTGAAACTGATTACGTGAAATTCGCAAAAGACAAAGATTCATTAGCAACTGCGTCAAAATACTGCACCTTACCAGAAGAAGGGAAACGCTCGATTGAAGGATCTCCTTTGTTCCTGGAATATTGTGCATCCAAAGACGATTCGACCGGTTTTATCGTCGGTGTTAAACGCGGTAAGTTTTGTGTTATTTTATTTTGAATTAGACCTATCACACACACAGTTCGCAATACGAAAGTGACAACAATCAGGCGATCATGGTATTCAAAACGAACATACTGGTTTACATGGGTGATTGTATGGCGATAAAATCCAGGAAGATGAATCAATGGTTTCCGTATATTGATTTACCAATAGAGATTTGCGAAAGTAGAATCATCATACGCTGACTTGTTATACAACATTTACTCATTGGTGTTAGCTTGTATTTGGTAAGACTGATATGCTGCGGAGGAACACATTCCATTAGATAGATTGATGAAATACGATGGTACAACATGCTCTCATTGGTAGTGTGTTAAAATGCACAATATTTGTGGAAACATGGAACCATCTATCATATAGTAACAGGATTGCCGCGTACGGCGCATTGTATGTTGTATCGTGAACCTCTTCAGCAAGTTTGCCTAAATTTTAACCACTGAAAAAACATCTTTGTTACAGAAAGAATACAATTAAGGATCACGGAAAACAGTTCTTACAGTTGTTCCTTAAGCCATATCGCGAAAAAGTTAAAATTCATGGACTTACCTTGAACAGACAACGTGTGCAATCAGCATTGCTATCAGTCTGCTCCTGGCTGCAATGATGCAAATACCTGCTCAGGTTGACACAATCGTCAAATGTGGACACCACACTACACTATATGCAACGTCTCGCCTTCAGACTCTGACCAAAGACATCAAGGCTTTCAATAATCAATGCAAACTAAAACGTAACTAATGGAAAAATAATGAATATTACATGTTCGAATTGTTCGATACAGAATTCTGCAGAAAACTTATTCCAAAATCGAAATAAACCCAAATCTCTTTGCAATCTGTGTGCTTTCAACAAATTGAGTTTTCATGCAACGTTTGATTAATTTATATCTGAATTTGTTTTCTTTTTCTGTTGCAATCACACATGTTGACAACGTTTACGTTTCACCCCGAAAACTACAGTGGCGAAAGGAGAAGGCCAACAACCAGTCACCTGCACGGACAAGGTTACCATAACCAATGATGAAGTGAAAACACTCAGCTATAAGGGTGATACACTTCGGAAGGATCAAACGTGTTTGATTGAAGTGACAAGCACAGATACAAATTACAACTTGGCTCTGACATTCACGGAAGTTGTGGTGAGTACTGTGCGTAATCCGTCTGACAAACCAATCGGTGTACCGTTCACTTGATTTTGATTTCAGTGATCGATTTGCTTAGCATTGTGGTATTTTCTGTGAAAATGTGCACATTGCATTAGTAATCGTAGTTTTGTCGAGAACTAGATGTTGTTTTTCATGAATGCATGATTTGGCTCTTGCGAACGCCTATTTGGCTGTGCTTATGAACAAGTTAACTTAGCTGTTGTGTTCTGTTGACACTTCTGTGGACAAGTGTGTTTTCGCAGAATTATTTGATGAATGTATGATAAGACATTATGCGGAATGGAATGTTCCGCATTTTGGTGTACGATCGCCTACGTTTCTTCACGTGGCAGCGTTTCGCAACTTTTGCTTTCTTTTTATTTGATCTTCACAACGTTTTTTCTGCAAATGCATCAGAGTATAATACTATCATTGATCTTGAAATAATATATGCAGTTTTGACCCAAATTTGCGTTTAACTGTACCTTCCAGTTTGATGCAAATCCAAGATGTGAAACCGATTATGTGAAATTCGCGAAAGACAAATCATCATTGGCAAATGCGACAAAATACTGCACTTTACCGTCACCAGCGGAATGGTCGATTGAAGGATCTACTTTGTACCTGGAATACCGTGCATCCAAGGCGGCTTCAACCGGTTTTGTTGGGACTGTGAAAAGAAGTAAACTGTCATTCCTTGAATCATGTTGCTACATACTCCTGAGATCGAATTGGTTCATCATCCTCTTGCTACTCATACTTTACATAATTTCTTTTTCAAGTCAATCCATCAAGCAAATTCCCCATGGACTACTAGTTTTATTCCTTGGCTTTTCTTTGTCGTTTATCTGATTTCTCCCTAACACTGACAAATCATAACTACCAACTAACGCTTCTAATCTTTCTGGTTTCATTTACACCTGTTTTTATTCCTGTTTCTCAATTAATGCACAATAATCAGTAATGCCCAAAGCGTTTTCGAGTTTCGTTCTGTATTCCTCCATAAGGTGTTCACCAAGAAGCTTGAAGTGGTGTATATTTTGATGACCACCGAGAAAATGAGAATTTAAAAAGGGAAAACCGCATAATATTTGCGCTTCTAATTTGTGGTCTAAGCCACATCTGGTCTCGTCTCGAAAAAAACGTAAATCCTCGTCATTTAGATCTTAATCCGAAAGGGTCGTGTAACAGACAAGTATAAAACGTCTTTATAGTATTGTACCAGATCATAGTCTGACCGCGTGTTGTTTCCTTCATCCTTACCGAGCCCGCGAAAAGCGAACACAAAATGTTAAACTAGTGGAAAACATTTGCACAACGTGACCGTGTCTTCTTAGTTAGTTTAGATGGAATGCTTCGTTTAGAGAACTATAATCCGCACCCAACACAAGATGAAGAACCCCTTCACCGCGCACCATACATTCTGACCAGACACGAGCAGTGCTTTTGTTTAATGTTTGGTGGAATAAAAAGATATAGTCCCATTTTCCAGACATTGGCCGCGGTGATGCACATTTATTACTCAAAGAAGTTTAAGATGCCGTGAAGCCATGAAATAGACGTCGCAGATTGGAAAACGATGTATTGCGTTTGATATTTGTGATGTGATTTCCCCGTCAACAACTGTATCTGCGGTCTAGCTCCCGAGACGTTCAAAGATCTCAAACACTTCAGTGGATCACCACTGTATGTGTTGTCACCCAGCATTAAATGTCATAGACAAAGCCCTATGTGGTTAAACAAAGAAACGGTGTTGATCATTACCAATCTAGCTTTGTTGATCACGAGGCTTCGAGAATCAATGTGATACAGGGTTTTGTGCCATTCACGCATATATGGTACTGTTTACAAGTATTGAAAATTGGTTCTCGTAGCTCGGGTGAACTGAATTCCATTTCGCCTGTTCGCCGAGCTTGGCAATTTGTTTGCAAACGTTTCATCACCAGTCGAGGTGACATTATCAGTGTTTGTGAAGTGGCAGTCTTCTGCTTGTGTCTGTTCGTTTATATATGTGTTCTTCTCCACCGACCATTGCTGTCCCTTGTTCTCATTGTGTTCGACTGGGTTCGCCATTAAACTGGTACGTGGAGGCGGAGTTGGTACGGGGGGTGGTTGTCCATCCGTCCTGATTGCGAATTCGGTCCGTTCTTAAGTCATGCCTTGACCTTTTTTTGTTGCGTCATTTAACCCTTAAGTTGCATTGGCATGTACACGCGATCCAGTTCAATGTGTCTGTTGATTGAGTTGATTGAGGAGTTTCAAGCTTCGAGAAATTTCCTGGAGTGTTTTGACCGAGCTTGGTCGATGATTTTTACTGAAGCGAAGTCAAATTGATGTCCTTCTTGATCTTCGTGGAGGGAACTCAAAGATATTGGGTCATGTCTCCTGACTGCTGGTTGGTGTTCACGGATCCTTGCAGACAGTTTTCTCCCAGTTTGTCCGATATAGTGTTTTTAGCAGTTGTTGCAATTTATTTTGTAGATAACATTTCTCTTGTCCTTCTCCATTGTTCCCTTCTTGGGTTTTGACAGAAGTCCCCTTAGACAGGCGATCGGTTTGTGGGCGACTTGGATTTCATACGATCTGAGAAGTCTTGCTGTCATTTCCGAAACGTCCTCGATGTACGGCAAGGTCGTTCTTGTTCCCGATTCTCCGTTTGTTGTTTCCTTCTTTCTTTGAGCCAGAGTTCTTTTGATGAATTTGCAAGGGTAGCCATTGCGAGCGAACACTTTGAGGAGGTATCTTTCTTCTTTCTTCTTGAGTATGTCGGTGTTGCAGTGCGTTTGGATTCTTCCGAACATGGTTTTAACGCAGTATCTTTTGTTGCTGTGTGGGTGATTACTTTTGAAGTTTAAAATTTAATCCGTATGCGTTCCTTTGCGGTAGACCGTTATCTCTAGTTTTCCTGATGGCGTTCTGATGATCAAGATGTCCAAAAACGCCAGTTGTTTATCCTCCTCGGTCTCCATTATGAACTTGATATCGTTGAATGTGTTGCTGATAATGTTGTATGTTCGTTCTAGTTCCGACGTCTTCAAGATGACGAATGTGTCATCAACGTATCGAAGCCAAAGTTTTGGCATGATCTTTGGTAGTACCTCCTTCTCCAGCTTCTGCATTACGGCTTCGGTTATGAATCCAAAAATTGATTCCATTGGTGTTCCTTTCAGTTGTTCGTAGATTTCACCCTCGAATTTGAAGTATGTCCGCATGCATAGTTCCACAAGTTCGTAAATTGCAGCTGGTTCCATTGATTGGTTTGGTGGGTGCTCAGTTATCAATTCCCACAACGTGAATGATGCCAGGTCCAAGTCGATGGAAGTAAATAAAGCGGTGACGTCGAATGAAACCATTATTTCGTCTTCTTAAATGTTAACAGTTTTGAGCTTGTCCAGGAAATGTCTTGAGTTCATGACGCTATACTCGTGTCCAGCGAGGAGTGGCTTCAGTCGTTTCCATATATGGTAATGTATTGTATTTTATTGTAATGACTTGTGCAATCTAGTGTGTGTACATTTCAGTTACAAAATGTGTTCACCGTGGCAATGGGTTAACAACTTAAAACAAGAATATCTATACACCAATGATAAAACTAAAACAGGAGTTCAACTTTGTAGGTTTAAAATTAGTTCATTGCGGATCCTCACCGTGTCAGTGAGAATACGACCAGATAGGTAAAAGTTGAGTTACGATACGTGGTTGGACGAGAGGACAAACAGTGAAAATTGGATCTGTTTGTGACGGAAAACAGATAAATCAGGTTTGGGCGGATGACTGAAGTCGTTGAGAATCCTATGGGCGAGATTCTCACATGAATTTATATGCAAATTGTACAGTTTTGTGATTAGTGTTTTAACGAATAATAAAAACAGTTGATTAGTATTAAGCCGTGACAGATAGCAATGAAATCCTTTCTAAGCAGTCCAGGAAAAATAACGGGTGAACAGTAAATATGACGGGAAAATGCAGTGACAACTAAAGGATCATTTAGTTTCATGCCTCAGTCGAAATTGTCGTAGCTTGCGTATTTGGAATTATAATCAACGCAGTCTACCGACACATGCTACCCCTTCTGAGAGGACCTCCGTGGATTGCCATCCACAGTAACACTTAGGTATTTGGTAGAATTGCGCAACAACTGGAGTTGAGGTAGGTTATTGTCTCGCCACCGGACTTCTTTTAATCTTTTTTCGAAATATATAAAACCAGGTATGTTGAACATCAAACCATCTATGTTTTGGTTAAGCCTCGGTTCCTGTAGGCATATTATACGTGTTCCTGTGCGTGCGACAAGTTAGTAGATTATTGAAGTCAGCAAATTTGCTAAAGAGTAAGCGAATGTTGTAGCTGATTATTGAGAGAACGGTCATCTTCACAGGAGGAATATGTGCAAGTGCATTCTGCCACCCGGTACACTTGCTCCGAGTAGAAAATCCAATTCGGGTAGAAACATGTAAGTTGGATGAAACAGAATAATAATAAATATCTTTCAGGTGTAGTACTAATTCCCTGGGATACGAACGTCATGAGAACATGGCAGAAACCAAGCAATAAATTCCAATGCGAGAATGAACATGCATAACTGTTAATGTGCCTCAATACGACACACTTGCTAGCATTTATACCATTTCAATTTGTGAGCTGTGCGTGTTTTAAGTTGTAGAAGTGAGGATCTATCAATCAACAAATGCGTCAAAGTTAATGCAAGTCCTCCTCGAATGTATAACAATTTCATTTTGACGGTTCAACCCATTTATACTGTTCTGCTATAAGGAATGAAGTTATTCATACGACAATGATTAAACTCACGTAGCACTGATTTTATTAGACCGAAATGATCATATATGAGTTGTGTGGGCTTTAATTCCAGGAATAAGCCACACTACCAGTTACTCTAACCCAGAACTTGTCTCGTTTAACGGGATAGTGCTTGCCAGAAAGTGGGTTCAATGGTCATCGATAAACGAGAAAGAATCAAATTCAGTGGACTAGAATTGATGACACCATTATTCGTTTCTTGGTCACAAGCACTGTTTCCGTGGCATCAA